TCGAAGTAATTGTTTCCGCAGTTGTAAACAGTTTTCCTAATACATACGCGTCCAATGTTTTACTCTAATATTGCATGAAATGTCTCTTTCAGTATTGATACTCTTGCCACTCGATCTCTTCAAAAGCATTAAGGTTAGTTTCTGCTTAAAAAACTTGAACCAAGTAACTGACTAGAAACCGTCGCAACGAGACTGGACCGTAACGTGGTGCGACGATTTGCGTACCTAATTGACCCATTGAGCTATACTGGGTGATGCCTCCGGGCACCTTGAGAGCTACTCCTACCAGGTTGGTCAATGGTGAGAGGTCAGAAAAACTCAGTCTCATGGTCCTCCAGGTTGGGGCTTTGAAATGGGACGGCATCCATTTCTGTAAAACTAAGTCATTGCCACCTCCCAGCTGCCTTGCGGACAGGCTTTTAAGCCAAAAGCTTTGGATGAGGACCCTAATCGTTGTGCTGTTTAGGTTTGGGCGCGCTGGCAGTATCTCAACCCACATACAATCATGATATTTTCTTCAAACCTAGACTTCATCCAACATCGGCCGTCGCGCAGATTATCAAGGGTCGCGTTATCTGCTGCATGCAGCAGGGCGGATAAGCGAAAACATACTACTGCTGGCGCTTCCCTTCTTTCTTTTCTACCTGTTTCTCTTACTCCCAACCCGACCCCCATTAATAATCTTCCTTCTATAATTCCAACTTGATTGACAGTAACCGAAGTACCACCGGAGTAGAACCATCTGCAGCCACCATCCCACAGCAACTATCGGACGCCTATCGCTAAAAGTCCCTTATAAGGCCCCTCTATCCCGTTTCCATGGCGACATTCACCGTTCGCACTCTAAGAGAAACAGGTCAACAGGCTGCACTCGCACGCACCTTGGACACACTGGGCATTGATGTGTGTTGTGTGTCCGAAACTAGGATCAATGACCGTATTGGGGTTATTGAATTAACTGTACCTGGTTTTTCCTCTCGTTATTTGTTGCACACATCCCGAGACGCCAATGCAGCACTCACGGGTCAAGCTGGTGTAGGTATCATTCTCAGCTCTGAGGCTGAGCCGTCGTTGGTTGAGTGGATTCCGGTGAACAGCCGTTTGTGTGCAGTCCGTTTGGCGACATCAGTTAAGGTTGATTCACGAAGTAGTACAAAGCGCCGTTTGTTCGCGATTTCCGCTTATGCTCCCCACCGACTGCAGTTCTAATGCTGTTAAGGACACATTCTATCACGAACTGAACGCGCTACTACGCAGTTCTACTAGTTCTGATATTGCACTACTTGCAGAGGATCTGAACGCACAAGTAGTAAGTCTGAGCTCTTCAGAAGCTCAGCTGGGTGGCAACTATGGACTTAACTCCGAACGGACTGACAACGGTGAGCGTCTGCTGCAACTGTGTGCGAAGCACCAGTTGTTTCTTAGTAGCACTGCTTTTAGACACAGTGGGCGCCGATGTGCCACTTGGCGTCTTCCTGTAGCTGGCCAGCGATGGATCCAAATTGACCACATGGCCATAAGTTGCAGATGGCGTGGTTCCATCCTGGATTGCCGCTCGTACTGGAGTGCCTGTGTCGACCCTGATCATGCCTTGGTACGTTGTCGTTTCTCCATGAACTTTACCTGGAGGCGCACCAAGCGTCCCCTACGATTGGCAATGGAGAAATTGTCTCAGTCCTCGGTCAGGCAAGCCTATCAAGACGCACTGCATACCGAACTTCTGCTCTCTTGTCCTAATGACCCTGAGTTCAGTGGAATAGGATCTCGGCCGCCATGCACGACGCAGGTGCATCTGCTTGTGGCACTATCAGTCGTCACCGCAACAGTCACTGGATACCGGACAGGTCGGTGAACCTGGTGGAATCTATAAGAAACCTCCCGGCTGGCTCTGAACACAATGTGACCAAAGTAGCTACTAGGCCTGAACTAAAGCGGAGCCTACGTGTTGACAAGGAAGCCTGGTGGACCAGTAAGGATCAAGAAACGGAGGAGGCAGGGGCAGTAGGCAATTACTGCAAGCTCTTCCAGCTAATTCGCACCACTGGTCCCAGGAAACCTGGCGTCAGTGAGACACTCAGAGACAGCACGGGTGCGCTGATACACAATAAGGAGCGCCGTATGGCTCTTTGGGTGGAACACATTCAAGATCAGTTCAGCTGGCCCTCTGCTCCCGGACCTCTTCCTACTCACGTGATGCAGTACGAGCCATGGACGGTTGGTTTAGAGCCTCCGTCAGAGGCCGAGGTCCGAATCGCGATCACAGCCCATAATCGTTTTCGTGCCGCCGGCCCTGATTCCCTTCCACCTGCGTTATTTAAGGATGGAGGTGAGGTCCTCTGCAAATCACTGACCTCCTTGTTCGCATGTATATGGAAGGAAAAGAGTGTCCCGGCTAATTGGAGCGAGTCGATTATAGTGGCAATATACGAGAAGCGGCAGAAGCTAGAGTAGCGCCACGCATACCGCATCCCGACAATAGCTGTGTTCCTCGATTTCAAGAGTGCGTTCGATTCAGTCGATCGATCGATTCTGTTCGAAATACTTGCGCGGAAAGGTGTTCCTATGAATTATATGAACATCCTTCGTGCTCTATACTCGAACACTACAGGCCACGTCAGGGTCTACGCTGGCCAATCGGATAGCTTTCCCAACACAAGTGGCTTTCGTTAGGGTTGTGCGATTTCCTCATGCTTGTTCAATTTCGTCGTGGATTCTATCATGAAGTGTTCCCTTGCGGAATGTCACGATGTAGGCATTGGAGTACTCCTTGGTGAAAGGTTAGTTGATCTAGATTATGCCGACGATATGGTCTTCCTTTTCGATGATGTTGGAGCGGCACAATCAACCCTGAATAGCCTATCCAGAGTGGTCCCGTTATTTGGTATGCACTTCGCACCTTCAAAGTGTAAAGTGTTGCTGCAGGATCACCAGTCAGTTGATGACCGCTTGACGTTTGCTAACGAGGAACTCGAGGTGGTTGATCATTTCACTTATCTTGGCAACTGCGTCAACAATGATGGACGCATAGAAACTGACGTCAGCTCACGCAATGCAAAAGCCAGAGCTACCTTCTTGAACCTACAGAATCTTTGGCGACAGAAGGAAGTTTTTCTCCGTCTGAAAGGCCGGATATACAAGGTCACAGTGAGGGCCGTTCGGCTCTATGGCAGTGAGACTTGGCCCCTTCGGTCTGAAGATCTAAACGCCTTCAAGTCTTTGATCATCGTTGTCTGCGAGGCACTGTTGGAGTCGGATGCCACCAGCGTGTCCGCAACGATGATGTGCGTGGGCCAGTACTAGGTGGTGATAATCATGCTTGCTCCATAGAACAACATATAACACTAAATAATTTGCCTTGGCTCGGGCACGTACTACGCACGCCTGGCCACCGCTTACCTAGGAGGGCCTTGTTTAGTCTGCCAGGTGTAGGGTGGCGCAAGGCTCGAGGTGGAGGAAAGTTGACTTGACAGCGGGAAATGAAGTCACTGACGACCAAACTGGGTGCCGTTGCTCCGTCTCGTCTTCCGGGCTGGAGTCCACGTGACTCGCCTTGTGCTTGGCTCGAGACTTTACAGGACATGGCTCGCAACCGACACCAGTGGCGCGTTCGCTGCCGTCTCCTAATTGGATTGTCTGTTTAAAGTGTGTTTGGTGCTGAGTTATCTGCGGGGTAATGGGTGATTATGACGCGTGGCAGTGAAAGCCGCAAGGAAGCTGTCTCGCCGATTCCGCCTTAGGTTTGCACGATAGCCAGCTGTTTGTGACGGTATGTTTTCTACACAAGGTATAGGCGTCTTGACCCTGAATGTTTGCTTAGGACACTAACTTTTTCAGGTAAGTCTCCCCTCTCTCCCTCTTATTCTTCTTTATTTCATAGGTCCTCATGGTTGTATGGCAGCGAAGCATCAGTTCAAATGGCTGATATACTGCCGTTGATGACGATGACGATGACGAACAGACTAGAAAGCAATTTTGAATTGATTTCAAAAACAGAATCACATCACTTTTAACATGCACCGCTGTGGCAAATATAGTTGTGCTGTATTGTCCACAAATTTTGCGTTGTACATAACGTTAATTAACAATGAGGAATTTTAGCAGTACAGTCATTAACTACCGTTCAATATCTAACACCATGACATACTAAGCACAAAAGAGGCCCATGTCGATGAACAAGGCACCTACCTGCTCGATCGCCAAACACTTAATTGAAACAAGTCATCAGGACAATCACAACATGGTACGTACCTTCATCTATCACAACATGAACGACACATTTCTGTACTTTTATAAGGAACCGTCTTCCAGCATTGGGAAAGCAAAACCAACCGTCTGACACGCTCAGACTCCCTTGGAGTTCGTGATACCTCCCGATAAATTAGCAAGCTTTTAGTTTCACCTGCAAGTGACGTGGCAATTTCAAGCTTAAAGTTTTGCCGAGTTAGGAAGCGATATTTCTCTTGTCTTCAACTGGGTAGTGTGTAGGATATAGCACAATTTCGCAAAACGGGTTTTCTTGCCGTTCTATGTAACTGTACCTATCGGTGTGCCATGTTCTCTTCCACCTCAACAAAGTCGATTTGCATGCAGAGTGACCTTAAGCCACCTAGTGTTTTCTACTCCAAATTATGCAAAAGTTGTTATAGATTTGCGCCGTGTAACTGTGAGCGCTGTTTTACTTTTAAGACATTTGTAACGTTACTAGTTCTCCTCAGTAGCACAAAAGCCAAATTAGCTAACACCTATTACGGAAAAGACCACAAGAGCACTTTTTCTCTATTGAGGCATTTGCGCTCATATATGTGATTGAAAACGGCAATAGCATGGTAACGAAGTAACGAGGAAAACAGAGCTAGTCTGTAGGACAAGGTTAAAGTCTCATAAGCCAGCAGGCTACGTGTAAGATGTTAATGCCATCTGCGAATTCTATTGCATGTTAGTAGCCCGACCATATTTTTGAGAAAAGGATAATACCCTTCCTTAGTACGATAAAAGCTAAATTTGAAGAGTGAAAGATAAAGTTTGTAGGTTTCCATTTCACAAGTACGCACACATGCGCACGTACGCCCATTGTGAAGGTTATTTCAACATTAATCACCAAGGCACAATTTATGGCATTCACTGTACAGTTCGAAGGCTGAAAGACAACGGTTTCCTCTTTCTCCACTTGAACTATCAGCTGTTTTGGAAAGAGGGATTTATCAAACAAATTTGCAAAAGCGCATCTCAGAAAAAGGAGAAAAATGTGCTCACAAAAGGCTGCAAAATGGATTTTATCAAGAAGCAATAAAACATGTTCAGGAATATCACATCGATGGTTGTGCAGTAATTTGTTGGCTTCGGTGTGTCATATGTCGTAATTTGAAGGCATCTTGACCAAAGTTACATTCTCAAACTGGGTGTTGTTTCGACGACGGTACCATATGGTGCGCCTGCATCCACAGAGAATGAAGACCATGGAGCTCAATATGATTCCGATGGTGACGAATGTAAAGATGATTAATCCGTCGTCTAAAAAGAATGACGTGGTGATGAGTGGGAGGATAGAAATCGGAAAAACCTTATGTGATTATGGCATAAAACGGTACACATCTCAGTGTGCGTTGTACACGATCCGTTTGGCATTTTGTTATTTTCTGTATAGGCCGTCGACCCACACAGTTAGATCAACCAACACTGGAAAGATTCGCTAGATAATGAACTCAACCGTCTGATTGACTGTCCGCCAGCCGACGATCTGATAGACAAAGTGTGATATTGTTAATCGATTCGGCAAGAGCTCTCCGGATTACAAAATATATGAAGTGTCATTTGTGCTAGCGTCGGTCAGAGTTCTGGTTAGATATTCAAAACGAAGTTGATGGATAACTCATCATCTTCCGTTGAATTATGCGTAGTACAAGAAACGATTTTGTCCCTCTTGTACGATGTTGCCTTCATATAGAATTAAAAGTCATTCGGATTGTAAACAAAGCAATTTCATTAGTATTTGAATTTTTGGTGAAGCGAGAAACCGCGGGCAAAATATTCTAATAGATTCGCCTTAGAAATGATGCCAATTTAGTTGAACTTGTACAAGATGCGTACACATCCGAGCAACTGCTTACTAAGAGGCGTTGCCGGTTGCAGATCTCAAGAAACCGTCAAACATCAGCGTCAATTTGAAATCCTTTCAACTTGATGTTACCTTGCATTAACTGATCTCTGTGTGGCCCCACCCATTCCCTCAACTCGTGCATCTCACCCTGTTACGAGGGTGCGGAGAAGCTGCGACTATCGATCCACTCCAGCTTATGCGTTGTATGTAATACGGTTGTTAAACTTGCGTATGTCCGTAATGTGCAGAACCGACCTCCAGCTGCCTTTGCCTGATGTCACTTGATGTCATGTTTATATTGTGCTTCATCACAATCTTAAATTGGACTAAAATCAGACCACGGTTTCTTTTCAGTTGGTGCTGACACGATCCAATTACTTGGGATTTCGGATTCTGCGTACTCGTATAGTTTTAACAGTAGTGCTAACAGTGTGAGCTCAGGTGAAAGGCCACTATTTCTTCTGAGTAAGTGATATCAGACCAGTGTCGATCGGGCAATCAGTGAAAAATTTCAAACTGGACAAGCCCCACTCAGTCAGACGCATACCTTCGCCATGCCCAGGCCTACATGCTAATCTTTGCAATTTTCCCAAGCCGTTGCCGGGCCCATCGCTTCTGGCGATAAAATCAACACTTTGTTCGGTTATAATATTTTTTAACGAGGCTCCATATTTTAAGCCAATGAATCGCGGAATGTCCGGTTTCTTTTGGAGTAAATGATAAACTTCCGACGAAATTGTAATCTTCCCCTTAGTGCAAATAGTTTGAACTTCGGTGGTCTGCACGACTAGATTGCAAGCACAAGGTCGACGGTTCGAATTCGCGGAGGGTCGAGTGTCCTCGCGACACACTCAGCCCACGCGAGACTGGTGGTGGTCACGCGGCAGCGAAGCGCCGTTACAGCGTACAGCTGACACATTATTATCACTATTATTGTTAGTCTTGTTATTATTATACCTTTCATTGCTAGCAGGATGCGTCATATATATTTTAATTCAAGGTAAGTCGCAAACTAATCATATTGCATAATATTATGTAAAGTTGTGGCATTCCGTTCGTTGTATCCAGTACTTAAACTTAATAGGCGGATACTGACTGAAAGCCAAACGTGGGGTTAGTGATAAGAGACTTTGCCTGCGCAGTTACATTCACAAATGGGTTAACACATTCGGATACCATGTACCTTTAGGTTTGATTTCCCGTGGCAACCTATACCGGAAGGACACTTAATGCCTGCGGTGTATTCTAATTAGAAGTTACTTTCCGAAGCCGGGTCATTTGCGAGCATGGTAACCACGTACCTAACTGGTGATGCGAGCAAGCTTTCGTTTAACAACTCGCACGCAGCTGCATGATGTAATCTTTACTGACGGACAACCACTTGCCAAGCTTGTCTTGAACAGTTTTCGGAAAAGGAAAATTCTTGGGTCATATGTATTTGTTGTGATTTTGTTTGCTTACTTGCAAACTAGCTTTCGGTAAACTTGCATGATTTCGAATTCTTATTGTTTGTGCCTAAGTTTGTGTTTGTGTGTCGCAATACGCAGTAAGTGAATACAGTGGAATTAATCAGACATCATGGATATGCGGAACTGATGATACTATGTACTAAGGAATCAGTTTGTCTGACATTCGGAAGGTGAACAGATAATGCTTGACAATAGTTAAAATAGGGACGCGCTAACGAACAGTCCATGAACTTACATACGCAACGACGTCCTGGATATCTTCTGTCAGACGAGGCGTCTATTGTGAATGGGTGGCATTCACAAGCATATACTCCGTTGAACATAGTTTTGCAAATAGCGTTTTTTGAGCAGTCATGATTGTTTGACTCGCATGGATCGATAGCTGGAAAGAAAAACGGTCTAAATCCATTATTATGGACACGGGATTAACACACAGAAAGGTGGGATGTTTCTTAAGTACAGCGTCAGAATGAAGACTGCGGTACTCCATAAATCCCACCACATGTACCCCCACCTACATGCTAAGGCACGTAGCCGTTGAATGTCAGATAGAAAGGCCTATCGGAAATTCTGGTAGGTTGCCCGTATTGCACGTACTTAACGGACGATAGTGCACAAAATTTATCAATCGCAGTCAACTATTACTTGTGAATATTGCTTCAGTGACCAAGCAGTCGATACATATTCATCCCATCGAAGACATGCAGAAAGCTAATCTTCTCACACGTGAAAGAAAAAGAAACGTTTCAGTGAGTTAAGCAATAATAGTAACTTCAAGTTTATTTTGCGCTGGCTCTCAAACTGAGCATATAAGACTGGAGCAAATGGTGCATATTTTGCATTTCTTTAGTGAGTCTCCGAATAACCCAACAGATTTTACTTATACTTATCTACGAACTAGGCCATAACCAATTAAGCGGTATCTATCAAGTCGTCCGGTGCATCAAAGGAAGACTGTGTGGATGTCGGTAGTAATAACAGCTCCTTCTCGTTACTAGCCGTAGATGAATTGTATGGATAACATAATGTTTAATATTGAGCTGTAGATGATACCGATTAGTCATTGATTATTGAAAGGTCGCAATGTGATGCGTAAAACCAAAGATTAATGTTTCCTTCTGTGGCGTTTTGCATCAGTTTTCACTAGAATCAGTTAATCGAAAGTGCCACTAATACTGCATCTCAAAATGAATCAGGGGATGACAATCTCAACAGACTGCAGATAAAATGGAGTAGGAAAATGCTGTGCGTCCGAAGAAGAAAATCCCATGGGATACCAATCGGTAGCCTAGGGCTAACATACCAGATATCACTCTGTTATACTTCCACAGCCGGAGTTCATAGAACACAACTATAATAGACATAAGCCGGCCCGCTAACATAGCGTATTAATGCCCAGTACATATCCGTTATGTGGAACAAATCTTTTGAAAATGCCGCTTCGTTACTTCAAAGTAAGAATAAACATTTTCAATGATACAGTTCGGATATAAAGACCAGTCAAGTATGATGGAGCAATACAATTAAATAAGCTCTGCAATGGCGTTAACGTATTGCCTTGTTTCATCTAGTTGGAACTTGTGCTTACTTGTGCCCATTTAATCATACTTTGAAATGATTCGCCTAGTTGAGATTAATGGGTGACTCCTCTGTTGACTTTTGTTAGCAGAGTAAGGTGCAACGTTTACTTTCGGTCAAACATGACGCAAGTATGGCAAATATCAATGATCTATTGAAACTATCATCCCATGTATACGCTCGTGCTGACTGATGGAAACTGGATAAGTCTAGTAGCCGGATTTCGTGAAAAAACACTAGAGACTAACTCAGATATTAAGTCACAATAGACGTTCAGCATTACTTCACTGCGTGTGACAGTAGTTAGATTTCATTCATACAAGTTTAATTTCCGGTCATTAATGTATGCTACCTGCAGAAGGAGCTAGCAAAGTTTTCTTCACTGTGTATCGTTGACGCTAACATGAGTTAGAGTTAAACTCGACACTTTTGGATGGTATGCTCCGTTATTATTTAATTTGCGCGGTTGCATAACTGGTACGCTCTTATCTCTCAAGGTTATTTCCCGCTTCATATTCATCCAGCAAAGTCATCATACACTCACTCTAATCGAAAGGTAGCTGAATATTCACCCTTCTTTGGTGTATAAATGGCATTGTTGACTTGTTGACTTTATTAAAATCCCTATGTACTGGTTACATTTTTACAGAATGGTTCACTGCGCATCGTGAATCTCGCAACACATTATGTTTTAACACCTTTCGAGCCCAGATTCACGCGTGCAACTTTGTTGCTATTTTAACAGGTCCGCTTACATCTGGTAAGAGATTCCCCGCGCCATACGGTTAAGTAAAATTTAACCCTACAGGACCATTTCAAAAGAAGCGACGACTCAGTTTGTGGCTTCTGATTACACTCGTCCATCGGTAACACAGCCTCCGGTATCTACCCAATACAAACTAGCTTAATCTAACACGAACCACGGTCAGTTGATAAAAAATCGAAATTGACACTGCGTGTACTTCACTCTCGTGACAAGCCCGCTTACGAGAACAAATGTCAGCTGTGCGCCTCTGCCAACCCACGTGACCGGACAAGTGCAGTGATCGGTTGAAACAACACCTGTGACTGTAAATGATCCTACTTGGCGGTAAACCTGTAGAATCGAAATGCACCCGCGTGATGAAAACTTGTCTGGCGTACTGTAACTGTGCCATTACATACCACGTTAAGTGCGCCGGCGCATTGGACTAAACTTAAATAGTCCCAACAATGTGACTGGTGCACTCTGGTTTCGCAATATTTTCAGAGCAATTCTATTTTTTATTTGTGTGGAGTTATTCATGGAAAAAGGGTGAAAAACTGATTGACACAATTGAACACGTCGTGGGTCTCAGTGCTTCGTCGTTGAAATTGAAGATAATCGGTCATCTTCCTTAGCGAACTCATCTAGATTTGTCCCTAAGGCTGGGAGTAAAGTCATTCTTGCTAACCGTCCCACCGTAACTGACCCACTAAACTTGACACATCCTAACCGACAAATCAAGAAAATCACCTCCGACCTGTCTGAGGTTATCGGGTTGTGTAAGCTAGACGTAACGATTCGAATATCGCACCGGCTACTCAGAGCCAACGGTAATTTAGAAAAGCAAATAACCGGTAATGTATGTATCAATCACCTCGATAAGAACCCCGGAAGTGATACGCGTAAGTCCATCCTCAGTACCAAGCACAATCAGTGCGATGCACCTTTCACCGGCACATCCAGTGGCTCCTCCTACACCGTCTAAATAGCCAGCAACAAATCTCAAACCGACATTTGCTAGACAGAACCACAGTGCGTCAAAGCTCGTGTGCACTAAGGTTCCCGATTCTAAAGCTGGCACAAGAAAGAACCATTTACTCGATGATCGCAACCTGTGGCATTCCGTCTGCTACGCTAGCAGTATACAGGTTGAGACCATCATACTGAGGTGCGTAAAACTGCACCCCAACTCAGTGCACTATGAGGAATCTCGAATTCTTTGAGTAATTCTGTATTCAGCAGAGGAGATAGTGACTGTCCTACACTCAGCAGTTCGTCTTCGCAACTCACCAAACGGGGTGCGCATACTACCAGAGCATCCTTAGATAAATGGCCCAAAGTAAGTGGATGACTAATGCGGCGCTCTTAAAGGCGAGAAAAAGGAAACCATATTTCTGTGGTAATTCATCACAGTCTACTCTCAGTCGGCAGGTATTGCTGCATCTGGAAAAGTGCCAGACAGCTCTGTTTCGACCCTTTGGGTCTCGTCAGTGGTGAGCTATCCTCGGACCCTTGTAGGGTTCCGGCCCCATGAATTTCTGATGTCAGCAGCTTGTGCCACTTAATCGTGGGTGACCGCCGCAGACCTGCATGACTGACAGTCGAATTTATTTGTTCATGATCTTCCCCATTTTCCGGATTCTCCTGAAAACAACGCGTGAAAATAGGACTAAGAACAGTGGTGTTGTATTCGCAAAGCACACTTTTTGGACAAAGTTATCGCTAACTCGTTGATAAGATTCCCTTCAATACCTAACTACAAGGGCTGCTGTTCAAGCTTAATGAAAGTAACGCCACATTCTGAGGGAATGACGCAAGTTCTGTTGAATGATAGGTTAAAATTTCGCGTCATGTTGCCATCCGAGCTCCGGCTAAAGGCAGCGGGCTCACTGCCACTAGTAGTCAGCAGCTCGACGACGCTTACAACTTCAATAAATACTTTGTCTCCATAGTCCCGCAAAGAGGCAGACACAACAGCACGCACGATGCATCAGAATACAGCGCAAAGTACCAGCGGATAACATGATTTGGAACATACCGTAAGTCCATGTAGTCCGCTTGAAACGCAAAAACCGACGACCAGCCAAAAAAACCATTACCAGAAAACCAAATGACGTACGACTTAAAAGCAAACATGAGTTTTACATACAACAACGCACTGCTGTCATCTAAAACACGAATGTCCAAGGCCTTCTTAATAAGGTGGACGAGCTCAGGCAGCACCACGCCTCACAATCGCGGGACCTGTTCAGAATTATACAGACCTAGTTACAGCGTAAGTTAACTGGTTCTGGAATCATTTTAATTGCTGCTAGCCTCCAACGTGAGGTTACTGATCACCCAGAAATCACCATCCCTGATTCGTTTTGACGTCATTGTGGTTACGGAACAACCATGTTTGTCTGCTAGTCGCAATTTACCACTCGATAAACCCTAGGTCGGAAGTGAAAATTACCGTGAACCGGGTTTCTTAGTTTGCTTCAAACAAGTCATACTGTTACATTTTTATCGTTAGCGAGTTTGGTGTGCACGGTACAGAAATGCCAGCAACCGATGGTGCGCTATTTAAATCGTGTTTCCAAGAGCTAACGTCTAGCTACCCTCTTTATAAATCCGTCACCTCAAACACCAGATATTTAACTACTAACAAGCCTTCGATAGTTTATTTTGTGCTTGCGAACGGAGACTTTAAGGAAGACGGAATAGTTACAAACACACCCTTGGTCCTAGTGACCAATTTGCAGAAATGTTTGAGTATATATGTATGCGGAGTTTTCCAAAGAGGAGGACGACGAAGTATCTACCATCACACATCGTAACAAAGTTAGGCTTGCTTGTTGAGGATAGATCTCAGGCTTTCTTAACTGTATACTTCCAGAGGTCACCTGAGAAAGGTTCACAAATACGCTTTTCACAGCAGTTTTGTTCCACTGTCAAATCAAAAGCAAGTCATTTCCAAGGAACAATACGGCACACACATACGTGATGAATTTGGCATGACGAGCTCACAAGGACTGTCTGAATTCCGACATCTGGACTATATATGTGGCAGAGCGTAA